CTCTTTTGGTTGGGAGGACAATTTGACATCCTTTTGCAGGTGCAGACAGTGAGGTTCAAGGCAGCTAAGCAGGTGCTGAGTCCTACAGGTGCACAGGGGTGAGCCAGGCTCTGAGACCAACTCTGTCTGTCCATAATGAGAGGACCTTTCCTTCACAACAAGAACTCTTGCCACTTTTTCCTGCTTCTGGAACCTCCAATGGCTATAGTCCAATCGTCCTCAAAATTAAAGTCCAAGACTAGGCTCACCCTGGGTTCCAGAGTCCAAAGGAGGGGCTTTGCAGAATTCACAGTGAGTCCAGGTGCACCCCAGATGCCAGTGAGCTTTGTGCAGGGCTCAGTGTTCATGCCCATCATGCATGCCCCTGTGCCAGGAGATTTGCAATAAGCTGGGGAAGCAGATTCTGAGTCAAGGACATGAAAATCGGGGCCTCCAATGAGGCCTTCATTCCACTGCCTTTGACACACACTTCAAACACAGACCAAGGTATAATTTTCAAATCACTCATGAAAATTGTATGATATAATTTGATCTCAGTACATGGACATTTGCTATAGATGTGTATTGGGTGCTCACACCTGCACAAACAGAGTTGCATGAGCCTCTAGATGGGTATCTCTGGGAATTCACAGGAGCCTGTGGGCACCAATGCTCTTCCTCTTCCCAGAGGCCTCTCTTCCTGGACCATCACTGGGAGTTGAACTCAATGCAAGAGCTGTTATCAAAGTGGGGTCCAGCAACCTAGCCTGAGACACTTCTGTGGGAGTCACAGTTCCCTGGTCCCTCAAATGTGGGGTGTTTATCGATAAGAACTTATATGCTATGTGAGGGAGGACTAGAGCAAAATAGAGCACCAATCCATCTGGTTAGTGCCTGTCCATGCTATTTGTTGACATTAATTGCAATCTGTGTGAATTTGACTCTTTCATTGCAAATATCCAAATGAATCAACTCTACAACGTGGATTCTGATATGTTGTCTGTCCTTAATTTGAAGGTGGTTGCTCTTATGGTTGCTACTGATCAAGGCCTCTGGTCAGTAATGGGCCCCTCTGCAGACTAGTGAAGAGAAGGCGTGGGGCACCACACCCAGATCCCCTTCCTGCTCTTGAACGCAGGGGTGGAGGTGGAGAAGAAATCAGACTGACTTTAAGAATCTCTTCATGTCAGTACATTTATTTCTTCTTTACATTTATTCTGTTTTTACCCTAGCCTCTGACATTCCCTCCATCTCAGGAGAGTTCTCCTCTCATCTCGTAGCCCTTTGAGTGTTGGGGGAAATTACTGACTGCAAGTGTTTATAGGAACAAGCTAATAATGACTGGCATGGCTCAGAATTAGAAAATTATTATTTATTCTTATTTTTATGTCAACATAAATATTTGTGTATGATCAATAAGAATGTTATCCTTATAACAAGACAAATTTGGATACACTGTTTATATCACCAAAGCTGTGACTGGAATGTCATCCTTGCACGTAGAATTAGGCACCTATACTATAGTTTAAGGAACTGAGTTGACTTTATGGAGCCCAGTTCCTGGCTAACAGACACCCCAACTTATAGGTTCAGCACTTCCAGGCAGGCCAGGCCCCTGGGGGTATGGTGGGACCTCAGACATTCTCTGTGTCATTTCAGTCTTTCCCAACAAAAATCTGCTGCCAGTGTCTTGCCTCTTATCCTCGGAAGCAATTGATCATACTGACTGACTTTGTTGTTTCAGAAAGAGGTGACCTTGACGCAGACAACATATGTGGCTATGGGACTGCTCGCTGCAGGAGGAAGTGTAAGAGACAGGAATTCAAAATTGGAGTCTGCCCCAGCATTAACCCATGCTGTCTGAAAGGACGGATGACACCTCATTGAATCCTGTGAAATACCCAAGCCCACTGGGGCCTGGTCCCGAGACACGCCAACCGCCGAACCTCAGAACCTCCCCTTTATGAGAGCTGACAGCTGGAAAATCCAGGGGCAGCCCCTGAGCTGGGTATGACAGGAGGGTTTGCTGAGAGGCAGAGCAGGGGCAGCAGAGTTGGAGCAGAAAAGCAGCAGAAGACAGGGCCTTGGCCCCTGGGCCCCTATGGCCCTTCTCTCTGTGAAAGGAAGTGTAGCAATGCCGGTAAACTGAGTCTCAGCACTGTAAAGCCTAAGTATCATATATCCAATCAGCCATAGCCTCAGTGAGCATCGTGTGTTTTGTTTTTGGCCTGAGTTATAGCAAATGATCTTGATAACAATGTTGTTGTTCTTCTGATCAGCAGTTTTGCTCAACAGTCATGCATGTCTTTTGTTCTTTATTTTGGAAAATAAATCAACATTAAAGGCAAATTGTTTGTTATACACTTAATGCAAAACATCAACTTCTGAGGAGGAAAAAAATGAATGATGAGAAGGATGCAAATCAAAAGGTTGAACCAAGTGCATGTCTGTGAGCATCACAGTCAACAAGTGGCAGCAGAAAGCACGTGCCCTGGGAAATGTTAGGGGGTTGCATCCACTCACTGTCCCTAAGAAAGGGGAGTAATAGAACTTTTCCCTAGGATTCCCTGTCCAAACTGTGTCATGGTAACCAAGAGATTTATGATGAAAAGCTTCTCTCTGCAAAAGTAGCCCAGCTGATGAATGAAATAAGGATAGAATGAGAATGTCACTATTTTGCAAACACCAAGGGGACTAATGATCTAGCCCAGTGGTCGGCAAACCGTGGCTCTAAAGACGCATGAGGCTCTTTGGCCCCTTGAGTGTGACTTTTCCACAAAATATCACGTGTGGGCACGTGTGTACAGTGCAATTGAAAGTTTGTGGCCCATGCGCAGAAGTTGGTTTTCGGCTCTCAAAAGAAATTTCAGTCATTGTACTCTTGATATTTGGTTCTGTTGACTGAGTTTGCCAACCACTGATCTAGCCCATAAATGTCAGTGGCCACTACAGTGAACAAGAACCACGCCTGGTACTGTGTGCCTCCTAATAAACTTAAACACTGTCACCTGTTAAGCCCACCAGTGTTTCTTGGGCCAAATAGTGTGAATCAGCACATCTCCCTGGAGCCACCTCATCCACCCAGCTTCATCCCTGGACAAGCCCCCTCCTAGATTATTTCCAGGAACACTCAAGATGCCTTATCACTACCTCAGAAAATAGTCCGGAATATATAACCCAGAGAAAAATTTAATCACAGTGCTATTTCCACACCTGAAAAACACTAGCACTCACTTCATAATATAACTCAACAGCAAATGCTCTCCTGTTTTGTAAGCACTATCAGTAGGTTTCTGAGAATTAGGACCCTAAAGGCCTACATTGGCTGTGTGTTTGAAATAGCCCCTTCCCCTCAAGTATAATTTACATAGCCATGTTCATAATGACATCTCCTCTCAGCCCGGACAAAGTCACACTATTTTACAAAGTTGCACTCTTTTGATTCCATGGCTTAATAGCAAAAGAACAAAGGGCAGATTGTTCTACTTTATTGTTTCTAGAATTAGCAAGACATAGTTGACTCACTGAAAATATATTGGGGAACTCAACAGCATTGCTGTCTCTTCTTTCACTGAAGGGTAGGATGGATCTGAAGGCTGCAGTTCGAAACAGAAGACCAATAGGCCTTTAAAAATTAGCCTCATGAAAATCAATAGAAAGAAGAATGAAGTTTGGACATTTTCCAATTTTGAATTATTTAGAGGGAAGAGGGAAAGGGAGAAGGAGAGGGAGAGGGAGAGAGAGAGGGAGAGGGAGGGGGAGAGGGAGGAGGAGAGGGAGAGGGAGGGGGAGAGGAAGGTAAGAGGGAGGGGGAGAGGGAGGAAGGGGACAGGAAGACGGAGAAAGAGATCTGCACCAAGGTCCTTCCTGGGAAGAGGAACCAGGCAGGGATGAGAAAGTCAGCACCTCCTCTTCCTGGCCTCCAGGTGGAGCTCATGACCTCATGGAAAACGCGAGTGTGAGATGCAGGGACACTACTTCAAGCATCCTCCTTGGCCATGCAGCCTCTGCCATCTTAATCCTCCTTTCCTTGGTTCAAATTACATGAGATCTCACAGAGATTAGAGGAGAACCATGCTATGCGTTAGGTGCATGGACAACATCCTAGAAGCAAGGATGAGCTATTCTGCAAGGGTCCTGCTGCCCTCCCCATCAGGATGAAAGTAGATTTGGGCAGGGAAAGGGCTTGGTTGTTTTTCTGGGACACAGAGTGTTGGTGGACGAGAATTGGGGCTCAGAACATTGTTCCTTTAGGGCAGATGTGACGCCAGCTTCCTCCTAACAATCTCCTGGGCTTTGTCCATCAAAACACCAAACCGGCTCCTTGTGGGCAGGTCGTTCTTTTCAGAAATGTCTGGGAAGCTTGTTTTTCTTTACATCCAGACAGGACATGAGAGGTGACTATTTGGGGCTCAATTTCTTTATCTCATTAGATCAAATGATTTTAATGAATCAGAACAACCCTTTAGCTGAGCGTGCTTATGAAAACACTATATATATATATATATACATATATATATATATATATATATATATATATATATACTTTTAAACATTACATTTTTATTGATTTCAGAGAGAAAGGGAGAGGGAGAGAGAAAAAGAAACAGAGAGAGAAACATCAGTGATGAGAGAGAATCACTGATTGGCTGCCTCCAACACGTCCCCTACTGGGGATCGAGCCTGCAACCCAGGCATGTACCCTTGGCAGGAATCACACCTGGGACCCTTCAGCCTGTAGGGCAATGCTCTATCTACTGAGCCAAACCAGCAAGGGCCCTACTTTTTCTTAAACACAGCCCACACAAGGTATTCAGGCATGGTATTTACTTCCTGAGAAGATGGCTTAGTGTTCGTCCAGCCAGCAGGGGAGGACAATGTGCCCCCATGAGTCCTCTGTGCCGGGACATTACTCTGGAACGCAGCCCTTCTCAGGTACAGGCCATTCCCCCCAGTCAGCAATAAAGGGCCCCATTGCCTGCCAGCCCACAAGGCCCTGTGGCTCACTGTCCCACGGCCACATGGAGCGACTCCTCTGGCCACAGGCCCTACTCCTGGTGGCCCTGCTGTTTCCAGGTAAACGGGAGCTGTGACCTGGGCCAGGGGGCCAGGGTCTCCTCCCAGACACTCAGGAATGGGCATTCAGGCTGAGTGGGGACACCCCAAGCCCTGGGGGCCCATTTTCTGGTGGGGATTTTAGATGACTGTCTCCTGACTGGTGTCCCACTGTCACTGGCTGTACCGATGGCCCTGGCTTCCCAGGAGGGAGGCTCCAACCGCAATTCCTCGGTCTTCCTTCTCCCATGTCTGTCTCTCTTCTGTGTCTGGGAGAACCTTACACTCTAGGGGTCGGCTGAAGAGACCTAACACCCTCTGCTGTGTCCACACAGGGCTGTGTGAGGCCAGGCATGAAAGCCAGGGAGGCACCAAGGGCATCAGGGCACCAAGGGATGAGGCCCTCAGACCTGGAACCAATGATTCTCGGGAGCTTCACCACCCAGGAAAGCGCTATCTTGTGCCACTCACCCCCCAGATGGTGGGTAAGTAAGCCTCCTGCACCCAGTTCACCTGTCCTATCCTTATGTCTTTTGAGGTCACTGTGGCAACCCTGTGCGTGGGACATTCTGTGAGTAATAATGTTATCCATACACAGTTCTTCGCGCTGGCTGTTATGTTTGGGTATATAGTTTCAGTTATGCAAGATGAATAGATTCCAGAGGTTGGGTTACACCATGGGCATCTAAGTTAACAATGCGGTGTTTCCCATTTATGAAGATTGGTTTAGATGGTAGGTCTTATATTGAGTGGTCAAATCGCAAGGAAGAAAAGAAAAAAAAGCTAAAGGACACAAGGAAACTTTGGGAGGTGACATTCCTGTATCATCTGGATTGTGGATGGTATTGCGGAGGTATGGTCATCACATTTAGGGTTTTATATTATTAAAAAAAAAAAGAGTGCTGATAAGAAAACAAAGTGATGAGAAAATAGTTTTAATTGATTGACCAGTTGATTCTTTGGTCTAGCCAATAATTATACTGCATCTGGTGAAAGAAGTTAGGACAGGAAAAGGGTAACTCCCCTTCACCTTGGATGGTTGTGAAGGTCAAATCCCAAATTGGTGATGGAGATTCTGATGCAATGGGGGCACCCTTAGAGTACAGTCTTCCCCACAGACATGTACCTTGATCTCTGATTCTGGACCTCTGCTTTCATTGTGTTCATCTATATTTTTAACACTTTCCCCTTGCTCTTATCTATCAGTTATCAAAATATGCCATTGATGAGAAAAAAACTTATATTTAATAACTTCAGTTCTTGAATTATGGAGTGAAATATCAAGTTCACATTACTCAAGTCACTTGGCGCATGTTCAAGAGACCAAATGGTCTTCCAGGCACTCCCTAATAATGAGGGGAAATTTTTTCCAGTTATTTAACACTCTATCTGATGTCTCCCCTGTTCACCTGGCCTAGCCTAGATTTCCCACCTCCCGCACACGGAAGGCTCAGTCCCCCCTCCCAGGGGACCAATGCATCTGTACATGTTTGATGGGGCTGTACCACTTCCCAGTTTGCCTCAGAGATCCTTAACTGTTCCCTTGCACAACCTTATAAGTCAAGGAGTCATATTTACTCTGTAACACATCCATTACCATTAGCCTGCGTCTGATTTGGCTGTTCATTTTCCAGGGATCAGGAAGGTGGCATATAAGCTCAAATCAAGGATCTGCCTTTTCTACTCTCAGAATGGTTGCATGGAAATGTGAGAGAGTATATGCAAAAGACATCTCTTTCCTATCCATCACCATCCTCCCCATAGTCCTTGGGGCTAAAGTTATTTTTGAGATGATCTTAAAAGACTAATGTTGGCTATTTCTTTATACAGACTATGGATCAGGTTTCAAAGTTGTCAACTGCAGGAAAAGCGAAGGGCTTTGTCAAGAATATTGTAATTATATGGAAATACAACTGGGCTACTGCTCTAAAAGAAAGGATGCCTGCTGTTTACCTCAGAGCTGAGACTGCTGACACAGAAGCCAGAGGATGGTCCACCTGCTGTCCTCATGGGCCATGGAAAAAAACCAGGTGCAAGTTGTCTGGGGAAGGATCTGAGCAGAGAGGAGCTGAGCATTGTCACCTGGGCCAGGAAGTCTAACTATATTATTGTAGAAAAATAAAGATAAAAATGGGCTACACATAATCTCATAGACATGATCTTAGAGAAAGTGACTTGGCTAGATATAAATAAAATCACACAATTTTTTATAGTGATATGGATGTAATAAACTTTATAGTCAAAGCATTCAAGAAATTCTTTCTTTTATATTAAAAATATGTTTTGAGGGTCTACCTTTGTTTTACTCACTGACAAATATAATGAGTTGAGAACAAGGATATGTGGGGGGGAAAGCACTACCTAATAGAAACAATTAAATGCTACATATTCTACCATATGTATCTATCCCAGGTGATGTGTGAAAAGATCAGTAGGAAAACCTTAAGAAAAGTTCTTGGAGAAATGTGAGTGAGTTCTGGAAGATGATCAGGAGTTTGTTGAGTGAAAGAGAGAGGATGGTGTTTCCAGGCAACAGATAGAGCTTATAGAAATGTGTGGAGACATGAAGCACGGTTTGCTAAAGAAATGCAAAAAGAGGGAATAATTACAAGGATTAGATGAAGCTGGTATAGAAATACTTTATCCTTAGCAAAAGTATTATGGTAAAGACCTTGGACTATTAAACAAGAGAAGGTTGCCAGGTGTTCTGAGACAGTGACATCAACATGGTCTCCAGTTAAGAATGCTTATTCTGACAAAAGAATGAATGTGGACTAGAAATGTGTGACACTAGAGGCAGGAACAGGGATAAGAGATTAGAGCATTGGGTGGAGCTTGCAATTCATGACTGAGAGGACACAGTGGCTGTGAAGAAGGAACAGTGGGGTGAGGGATAACTGAAGAGACTGACCTCACAGGTTTTGTTATAGAGGAGGAAGGACATTGGGTGGGAAAAGTTTTGTCAACCGAGGCAGCACACAGAGGAAAAGGGAAGAGGGAGGAGCAGGGGATAGACTAGATTGGCTCTGGATGCACTCAATTTGAAAACCTGAGATTTTGGATTCCAGGAGAGAGGAGAGACAAGAAGTAAGAGTTAAAGTATTTTACTTAGTCTAACTGGTGTGTCTCAGTGGCTGAGCATTCACTTACGAACCAAGAGGTCACAGTCCGATTCATGGTCAGGGCACATGTGAGGGTTTTGGGCTCCATCCCCAGTAGGAGGCATGCAAGAGACAGTTAATCAATGATTCTCTCTCATCATTGATGTTTCTCTCTCCCTCTCTCTTCCCCTCTGAAATCACTAAAAAATATAGGTACTTTAAAATGTCATTTACTTTTAGTTGGAAACGAAATCTTAAAAAAGTCTTAAAATTTATCTGTCACCCAGGAATAGGTTTCTGTGTGAGGGACAATGGTGAAGAATGCTAAGTGAGGCACAAGAATGAGGAGTTTTGGAGGGAGATGAAGAGGGCTCTGAAAGGGGAGAAAGGAGAAAGCTCAATGGCATGGAAGTCAGTCCAGGAAAGAAAGTGGTGTCTGAGACAACAGAGAAGATCTGGAGAAAAATGAAGATTATCATCTGACTCCACATTTTCTCAGCTGCATCTAGTTGAGAGATTGGATTTCAGGGGACCTTAGTCCTAGGTCAAGGTCTATCAGGAACATAGCCTTGAATAGTTAGCCTGAGGATGTCAGTATTTCCTTCTAAGTGATAAGAACAAAATGTACTAAAGGGAGTTTTCTGTTTGTTTGCTTGTTTGTTTGTTTTGGGGACTAGTGTGCATATAAGGGAATGCTTTGAAAGAAAGAATAAAGCTGTGATGATTGATAAGGAGATGGATAAAACTAGAGTCCTCTCCAAAAAAGCATATCTAAGTAGGTCATCATTCTCCTAAGTTTCTCTAGGGACCCCTGTTATCACTCCCTTACTCATTCACTCACACATTCATTCATTTATTCTTTCACTCACTTGTTCTTACAAAAAACATGGAGTAAGCATGCACAGCGCTCCAGGTAATATTCTAGATACAGGAAGTCCAGTAATGAACAAAATACCACACATTCATATAGCTCACATTCAAATTTGGGAGACAAACAATAAGCAAGATATGTCAATAAAGTATGAGAGATTAGAAAGTGATCAATGATATGGAAAAAAAATATTGGATAGGGAATACAAATTGTGAGGCAGAGGGTGACCTTCTGGAAGCAGGAGAGAGAGAATGTCTCACTGAGAGGTAGACTGGGAGTGAAGACCTAAAGGAGCTGAGAGGTGGGCCCTCTGTGGTCTGTGTTTGGTGGGCAGTGGGCATCCCAGCAAGAAGCCACATGGCCACTGCCCAGGAAGGAGCATGTGGGGTACTTGAGGAATGGCAAGAGGGGCCAGAGGGGCTGTAGCAAAGGGAATGGGGACTGGGGAAAGGGGCGAAGACATTCTACCCTAGATTTAAGTTTCATCAAGAAAGTCATAAATTTTACCGAAACCGGTTTGACTCAGTGGATAGAGCGTCGGCCTGTGGACTGAAAGGTCCTAGGTTCGATTCCCGTCAGGGGCATGTACGTTGGTTGCGGGCACATCCTCAATGGGGTGTGTGCAGGAGGCAGCTGATCGGTGTTTCTCTCTCATCAATGTTTATAAAACAGTAACACTGTTACCCAGAGAGATTTCGGATACTACTTTAGGATTCATAGGAAAGAAGTAAAATCTGTTTCTCCCCCCTCCCCCCCATCATTCTGTGATAATTTATGCAGTTCTGCTTGGATGGCCTCAAGGGCTCTCCGGGCCATTCTGAGCCAGTGATTCTGTTGGTTACACTGTGTGGTGTTTTTTAGGAGTGTAGGGCGAGCCTGAGGCTTGATGGACACTAGCTGTGCTCCTGGTGGGAAGATAGCCTTCAGCCCACCATCCTCACTCAGTGTGCTGCATCTATTGTACCTGGAGCCTTCTGGTGCTTTGATCTCTCTGACCCAACCACACCCTAGCCTCCCTGTCATGAGGAAGTCTACTTCATCCTCAGTGTCCAAGACCTGCTAGGGGGTTGCGGGGGGTGTTGGGGCAGAACAGGTGGGCCAGCTTAGTCACTCATATCACCACTTGGCTCCTATGACTTCAACAAAGGCCACATCTGATCTTTCCTCCCTGTGCACATGGTCCTGCAGGTATGACTTGCTCTGAGATTGTGCACCCTTACCTCTGGGGTTATAGGAAGAGACCTTGCTGGACCCCAGGTTGCCTTGGCAATAAGAACAAAAATAAAAATGAGTCTGTCCAAATGACGAGACTGAGTTCCTTAACACACTACATGTGTGTTTCTTTGTATATCCTGGAGTGAGAATAGTAACATTAGGACATCAGGGACAGGATTGAGCCTGGCTGTAGGGACACCAAGCCCAGCCATGTTGTGAGGCTGGGTCTGATTTCTGGTGAATGCACAGTAGGTGCTACGGTGAAGCATGTGCCAGTCTTACGCTTTTGGGAGCAGGC